CCCGGGCGGCAGCATCCCACGGTGGATGGTGGATAAAGGAACACCGCGAAGCGTGGGGGCGGACGCCGCTAAATTCATCAATTGGGCTGTCCAAGATGACAAGCCGTCTAAGCAAGAAGCAAGCACAGGTACGGAAGCTGCAAATGCTTCAGCAGGCGCCACGGCTAAATCTGGGGAGATTCCGAATGAACACGACTCCGACCAGGCAGACGACTCGGATTCGGATTACGAATCACTCGACAGCGACGGCGAGCATTCGCATCATGGTCTGATTGCCAGTGTCACCGGCTTGCTCAGTACCGGACTAGAACGATTCGCGCCACATGTTCTGGGCTATGGCCCTCATCATGAGGTATCGGGTGATCTCCCACCTGCGGATGAGGTTTCCTACATTGACGCACATGGCATGGCACATCTAAGCCCAAAAAGCGTTCAACAAGATAAAACATCGTTGGATACCGGATCTTCAACATCCCACGAGCGCGACCGTGCCTCGTTCTCCTCAGCTAATTCCGAACATGCAACAACTGCCATCGACGAGGTAGCACATAGCAACAGCATTTCCCCCGAAGAGCTGATCAAAATGACAAAAAATAGCAAGCTCACTTCCAACGAGAAAGAGCTCGCAAAACTAGCCATTCGCAAACGCGAAGTCGAAGATAAGCTGGAGGAAGTCCGCGCTGAAATCGACAAGTTTCAGATCTCAACGCAACCGCCTAGTGTCTCCGGAACCCCACTAAAAGGCATCAACGAGGTAGACAGCGACACTAGCGAGATGCGCAAGCGCGCAGGGACGAATATGTCTTCTCGGCCCCCCAGCACTCGCACGCCGCAGAGCCAGAGCCAACCGCAAGGTGAGGTCAGCAATGAGGACAAGCTATCTTCTGCGCGGACGGCAACCCCGGACCCGCCAGCGCCTCTCTCCAAAGCAGCCTCTCACTTTCTCAGTGGAGAATCTAAGCTGCTTAAGCAGCTGCGCAAGATCGAGGCTAGCCAGTTGAAGGTTGCGACGAAGATTCAATCGAAGCAGCGAAAGGACGCGGAGCGCTCGGAGAAGTCTAAGTCCAAGAAAAAGTCCGAGGTTGATAGCTTGAAGCACGAGGTACATGAGCTCAAGAAGGAGCTCAAGCAGCTTCGCTCTGAGCGCCAGAAATGGGTCGATCTTGTTTCATCGTTGCAGGCGGAGAATACGAGGTTGGCAGCGAAGTCGGAGGGTTAATTGGTGGCTAGATCATAATTGTATGGCTTGTACATACTACATAGCTTGTTTTCTAGCCTCTTCTATTTGTTTATTTTTAGCTTCGATCGGGGTCTGATCTGCCTATGGTTTTATAACTACTTTATCCTATATCTATTACTACATCTGTCCGCATGGGAATAGATTTTAATATTGGATATCTTCATGCTTCAAACATCGTGATTAGATTGTAATATCGCAGACCATGATCAACCAATTGATATACGGCTCTGGGGTAGCCTCTCCCATGCATTTGATGCAGTTGAGAAGCCGAGTGCTCGTCAAGCAATACCAGGCCATCCACATGTCATGATGCTGGTTGGGTACTTGGTAACTTGCTGCTGAGCGCATGATTTCATGTGATAGGCATGAAATATCACAAATTGACCCCCTCACTATCAATGATTGAAGGATGCTTGAAGCTCCAGAAGTCAAAACAACGGCAATCCCTAGGGGATACCAACCCCCAGAGAGAAGCCTTGTTCGCATAGAGCGTTTCGTATGCTGAGTTGGAATTGTTATTCCGTACCGAAGGAATCGAGCGGAAATCTTGAGAAAATAGGTCTTTGGTGGTTTCGAAACCGGTACACAGAGGATTATCTCATGTCGGCAAGGTTGCTGAGCTGGACTAGGGGTGGTCGGAGGATCGGGGGGTCTGCCTTCCTGTATGGAAAGCTAAGGACGCGACAAGGGGTATCAAGAAAAACAAGAATAAACCACACTGAGTGTTTTTACTCTTGAGTCTGAATCATTGGAGAGCACATGTTAGCCAACCCATCTTTGTATCATGTTGAGCAACTCTGCAAGACACCACATACCTCTGGCGGATTACCAGCGCCTCTGACCATTTTCTCCAGCATCATTGCGCGCACCTTCTCTTTTGGTTCGCCCATGCCGACGGCCATGTAGGACAGCAGGGGAGGGTGACCGACGTAGGAGGAGTAGCTGTCACGGAGGATGTTGGACGTCCATTCGTACTTGGTGGTATCGGCGTGTCCGGTACCGATGTAACGGGCCTGGAGAGCCTCAAGGTTCTGGATAGTGCGAAGCTTGTCGGCCATGGTGGATAGTAGAGACGTTGACGTTGGATTGAGAAGGATGGCGGAAAGCTTGAGAGAAGAAAGGGAACCATCGACGCCTCAGGCACGATTTTTATAGACTCACGTGATCGTATGGGCATCTTGAGATTCTTCGATCCTATCTCTTTACCTTTAGTAAAGCGTTTAGTTGTTTAAGAAATTGTTACTCGAACTATAATAATATCCAATGTCTGCTGATACATCTGGTTCTTCATTACCGTCCCGGATAGCATCGCTGGTTCATGCACATTTCGATGCTCTGCCAACGCGCAGTAAACCAACCATATTCCCGGATGGATCGAGGGAATGGATTCCAATGACTGGTATTGTGGCTGTCAAAGGTATGTTTTCCACTCAATCTTCAAAAAAAAAGTTATCGTCCCTCGTCTATATATGTATAGTGAAGGAAATCGGTTCATTCGTTGCTCTCTACTTCGCCTCACATGTATTTCTTTTGATTCTAATAGTAACATTTTTGTCTCTGCACTTATAGGAGAAAACACACCTTCGGAAAGTCTGACCTGCATATCCGTCACGTAAGTTTTGAATTCTCCACTTGCAAACCTGACCAAGTCATATGCAAGTGACCTACATCCAAGCAAGCTGAGATTTATGTAGGACTGGCGCAAAATGCTTGTCAGCGTCTCATATCCCACGCTGCAGGGGTCTTGTCCTACATGACTGTCATGCCGAGATATTGGCCATTCGAGCATTCAATTATTGGCTTTTGACGGAATGTAACAGTGTCCTGTCCCGGGAAAAGCAATTACCGAATGGCCATGATACTTCCACCCCCGAGAATGAAAAAGTCTCGGTTTCTCCATTCATACAACGGAGAAGAATGGAAGAGGACGCAGGTAGTATTTGCAAATCACCTACAGAATGGCCGCCTTTCGAGCTTCAGCCCGATGTCAATATTTACATGTATTGCACATGTGCTCCTTGCGGCGACGCAAGCATGGAGCTCTGCATGGCAGCCCAAGAAGATGCGACACCGTGGGAAGTCTTGCAGCAGGAGGTTTCTTTACCAAAATCTCAAGACGCAGAGGTCCCAGGTACAGAGACCCTTCTAGATGGCCGGGCCCACTTCTCTCTTCTCGGAGTCGTGCGTCGAAAGCCAGCCCGCATGGACGCCGAGTCCACGCGCAGCAAGTCCTGCTCAGACAAGCTTGCATTACGGCAAGTCTCCTCCTTGCTGTCCCGTGAGACCAGTGGCCTCGTTACTCCCACCGAAAACGCCTATCTGGCAGGTCTGATTCTTCCTGAGGACGAAATCAGCCAAGTTGGCTGTGACCGCTCCTTTGGCGAGAACGGCCGGATGCAGGCTTTGGGTGGTCGATCTTGGCCTAGGGAGACAAAGTTTGAAGAAAGCACACCAGGGTATCGATTTCGGCCATTCCAGGTTCTTTCGGTGCCGAGTGAAAAGGTGGCAACTCTTTGGCCTTTTGCGAAGCCGAAATCTGTGCCATGTCCTGCAATTGCTGTGGAGCAGGAAGTGGACCCATCGACGTCTGGTGCAAAATTCAAGAAGTCCAGGCCAGGAAATGTGAGCGCCGTTTGGACATTAGCTCCCTCGTATCACCACCCATCGCCAATGACCATGGATACCGGCAGCAAGTCACTGCCAACTCTTTGCCGTTCCAAAACCGGTTTGTATGAGACTATCATCAACGGAGTGAAGCAAGGAAACCGGGCATCCTCGCCTGATTCCCGTGGGGCCTCATCTCTATCCCGAGCTAAGCTTTGGGCTCTTTTTCGCGAAATTGCGCCTGCTTCGGTTCCACGTACCTATCGAACCGATGTCTCCCCAGCCAAACCGCTGGTGGATGCTTCAAAGATTGAAGATCCGCACGTCAATACAGTTCAGGGCCACATCCCAGATATAACTACCTACCAGGATTTCAAAAATCCTAGCAGCTTGGAAGACCCGTTGCAAATCCGTATGCAGGCCATCGGAGATGCGAAACTGGTTCTCAAAGGATGGATGCCTAATTCAGGAGATGAATCTTGGGGCTTGGATGTTCTGATTGACCCCAAAAAGCGAAAGCGCTGATTGTATCCAGAGGATGGGCGATTGCTCGATGGAGATTAATCTGGGCCATGTATACCTATATGAATACATAACCCCATCGTATCCCCTGTTCAAGATACCCATAACAAGAATAGTCGGCCGCTTATGCGGCCTTGTGATGTATCTTTGGCGGTCTCTTTCGAAGTCACTTAGGTAATATTCTAACAGTCTTCTCAGATATTCTTCTCAAATGTATTTTTAGATGTATACGAAGGCAGTACAAGGCATAAACCGCACAGAAGACTTTTCTATCTATCACCAAGGATAACCAAGGAGATATAATATACTTCAAGTCTAGACAAAAGAGCTATCGAAGAGAGACGAGGACTGGTTTGCTGTTCTTAATTGGCATCAGCGTTTTAGTTAGTTAACTATAGCAAACGAACCGCAGCCTAATCAATCAGGCCGGCAGAACTCCATGAGCCCAACACTCTTGATTGTTAGACCTTCTTGCTCTTCTCGTCACTCCTTTTCCTCTCTCCCTGCTTTCCGTTCCCCGGTCTCATCGATCTACGACCTCACATCTCAGATGTCAACCCATACGATCAACAACCGAGGGACTATTCGACCTCTTCAAAATAGCTTTAATTTCAGCCTCCATCTTTGCCTTCAAATGGCTCCCAGGCCTCCAGCTGAGTGCGCAAAATGTGGGACAAAAACTATGACAATGTGTTTGGGCTGCTCCCATGCACCCGAATATCAAAACGGCGATTCAGCACTTGTTTTTTATTGCAGCCACAACTGTCAGGCAATGGACTGGCCAAAACACAAATACTATTGCAGGAACATGCAACAGCGAAAGATGCTACTCCGAGCTGCCCAGATACTGAAGGCAGCCATGTTGACATACAGAGAGACCGTGTACGACGTGGACCTAACTAAGATCGTGTATCGAGATGGAGTCCTCTATCTCCATCAAAATCAAAGGTCTGTTTTGTCTCAATCAAAACGCGGCCCCTTCCCAAGCCACATGACCGACAACATCGAGCACAAGGAAGCAGCCCTAGTTAAAAGCCAATCTACAGCAGCCATGGCCCTCTTGGGACCTTTGACCAGAAAACTTCTTCGAGGTGAAAAGCCTTTCTAGCCCTTATGTACCGAATTGAGCCATGGCTAAGCAAAACAGGTGTGCCATTGAAAATTGAGACTATGGTCGTCGATATCGGAAGACCACGGGTTCCAGCTAGGCTTGTCCCTGGCCCTGACTTGCATGGCGGTCCGCACACGGTATTGAAGATAGCACGACTCGAGAGCAGCGAAAAATGGATCATCGATACGACAGGCTATCAATATGGGTTCCGAGATGTGCTTCTTCCATTCGTCAGGTACTTGATTGACACTAAATGCCGGATACTGAGGGGACCTCAGATTTACGACGCAAACGAGACAGTGGATTTGGACTACCTGTCAACTCTTCATATCTTCAGCGAAACAAAAGCACAACGGCAGGATATGCGACTAGAACGACTGACCCGTCACCACTTTGCCGTCTTCGTTTCTATGAGCGTGCATGATAACTTCCTTGTGGGATCAGGCGCCGACTTCAAGAGAAAGATTGGTCGCTTCGTCAATGACCTCAAAATTCACATGGTTGATTCTATAAGGAAAGCCGGTGACGATTTTGGGGATTCTGATGATGATTAAAGACCAACGGAGAGTCTCATAGCTGGATGTTTTATTCGGTCATCTTATGGATTTCAAACTTGTGATTCACCTTTGACATCAGTTGAAAATGATTGACCCCATAGCTTCTCTGCTTGATGAGTACTATCGTGGAATCAATGAGGAATAACTCGAAGCTGATAAGATTCAAAGCTCTTGTTTTTAGTATGGGACGCAATGAATGGCATGGGCCAAGTTTACTGGTTCGATGTAGGTGCTTATATCTAAAAAGCAGATTTTTGGTAAGATATTTGTTATCTTGTTTTGTCAAATTCGCATGCGACAGCTTTGGAAGATTGTAATCCAAAGAGTGCAAGCCTATCATAAAAGTTTCCGCCGAAATATTAGGGATAATTAATGCACAAAAGGTAAAATCTGGCCTGTAAGAAAGGTTCTTGGGGTTTCTCAGTAGATCCCAGGGATGATGCGGCTGCGAACAATGGAGGTATAACGCTTCCAGTCAGCTCCATACTTCTTCTCGCACTTCTCCTCATCCCGCATCTCACGGTGGATCAACAAGACACCAAAGTAGAGCATGTAAAAGTATGTAAAGATCATACCCCAGCCACGGACTTCCGGGGTCTGCACAGCTTGCTTCTGGACGGCGCCACTGGCTGGGTTGATGGTCTCGATGAGAACATATCCCGCAACACCAGTCGGCAGGCAGTAGGCCCACGACATGGTCCAGTCACCGAGGTAGTTGATGTGACGCGCCAGACCCCACCAGCCGGAGATCATCAGTTTGGATCCAGCGGCAGTTTCGATATACTTGATGTTCTTCACGCGAGGATCGTTGGGATTCGTGCGGAAACGGTTCTTCTGGTTATTGGCGCCGCGGAATATCGAATATCCAAGGGCTGTGATACCCAGAACAACGGCCATACCGCTCAATCCAAGCTCGTAAGGGAAGACAGAGAGATACCGGCTCTGAATGCTGTAAACGTGAGGCACCCAAACCACATCGCCGAAAGACAACATGAATCCGAAGCCATCCATGATTACATCCATGGTGGTCATGAGCGCTGGCTCCATGTATAGCCCATCCAGAACGTAGAAGGCCTGGAAAACGGTGACAAGCACGATCGAGTCAGTGATGTAGCCATATGTTCGGTACTGGTGGGCCACATTGGACAGGTTCAAAATTATCCATCCAAGCAAGCCCGGTCTCATCTCCATGAACACACTGATATCGATGGTGCGCGATGCCTCGCTGACAAATGGAATGGGCAGGCGAATACGAGGGTTGAGTTCACGGCCAATGAAGAAGTCGTAGAGCACATTGCCCGTATGGCCGCCAGGTGCCAGCTCGCGTAGGTCTGGGTTTGCCTGTCCGGGGGCTGGAACTGTGAAGCTCTTCACGTAGACGAACAGCGCAATAACAGAAGATATCAACAAGTTTGCTGTAATGACCTGAACATAGTTGTCCCATAGGAATGTCCACACCACAAAATCGGCTCCATAGAGATAAGTGCCTCCGGCGAGGCCCGAGAGGATAATCACGGCAGAGGAGAATGCTATAAAATGAACCGAGTCAGGTAAAAGTATCTTGTTTGAATGCGAGGTGCGAGAGAAAAAAAAAACTGCCATTGCCATACCATTGAATTTGTACTTCAGCCGCCCTCCGCAGGCCAACATGACACCCTCTGCCTCCTGGCCAGGAAGGAAGACCTGCAAGAACAAGCTGAATGCATAGTAGCTCAGGGTCCACAGTGTAACATTGGTATCATAAAGCGCCGTAATTCCCTCCTCCGGCCAACCCACTTCCTGCTTCAATTTCTCTAGCGACAAAGTAGAGGGGCTCAGCAGTGACGGTGCGGGACAACCAGAGATATCGTTGCAGACAAAAGTAAATAGGTAGATCAGAGTCGGCAATCCAAAGATGATAGCGAAAGCACCTATTCTATTGCAGATGTCAGCTCAGCTTAGTTTAATTGAAGGGGGAAAAACATACGGTCCACAAAACTCATAACCACGTTTCTCCGGCACTGGCTGCACAGGTATTTTTTTGGAGTCCTTAGACATTTTGAAGTAATGAGCCAATGGATAGAGAGATAATCCAGGAATCTGGAGTGGGAGATCTCTAAATAAGACCCTGGAGCCTTAAGTCGCGTACGACGCCGGATAGTGGATGTCCGCAGATTTGCTCCGCATTGCCAATCACAGCTGCAGTGATGCTACGTAAGCCTCTCTCTGTACCTGGAGTACCTGAACGCTACACTTAGACACCTTCCATCAATCATAACGGTCATTTCTATCATTTTGCAGATCTCTTTCTCTAGATTCTTTCTTTGTCCCATTTCTTTTCTATGAGACTGCTTGGGTTGATCCCAAACATAGCCCACCATGAAGCTCACCAGCTCCGCTCATTACTCTATTTTCCTTCTATCCTCGATCCTCGGACTATCTAGCGCATCATACTCTACTCATTTGAAAGATGACGCTCCATGTGTTGCCCGCTCCCCGACTACAGGGTTGTATTTCGACCTCAATGCGATCTCATTATCCCCGCCCCAAATGAAGGACGGCAAGAAACTCTTGAAAGATGCCCGGGAAGACAGCTGGTATGCCAGGGGTCACGACTATCCAGCCAATTTCACAATCAACATCTGCGCGCCGGTCATTGAGAATGTGACGAACGTGGTCGGGATAGAGTCATCGCGGTGGAAGAACGTCAGTGCATATTACGAGCGGGATGATAAAATATATTCCATAGGGTATGGCAAATCTCCATTCCAACTGGTCGCACTAGTTGGACTCGTTCCCTGCTTATCTTGCTAACGGTTCTCTGTCATTTACAGGCAACAAGCATCCGAACCTTTCTTCCGCGGCCGCAAACTCGTCCTCAATTATACCAATGGATCACCTTGTCCGGACTATAATATGGGCAGTTCCAATGTCTCTACACGCACTAAGTCGACTATCATGTCTTTCCTTTGTGACCGTGATGCTGCGCCAAATGTCGCCACAACTTCCTTTGTGGGCTCCATGGATGAATGCGCGTACTTTTTCGAAGTCCGCAGCTCGGCGGCATGTGGTGGAATCGCTGCGGATCCCAACGCTGGTGGTTTGGGACCCGGCGGCGTATTCGGTGTCATGTGAGTACACACTTCTATCTATTGGGGAAGACCCAATATAATCCATGCTGACCCTGTCCCCTAGTATGCTGATTGCCATCGCCGTATATTTGATTGGTGGCTGCGCCTACCAGCGAACGGTCATGCATCAACGTGGCTGGCGCCAGTGTCCGAACTTCAGCCTGTGGGCTGGGGTTTTCGACTTTGTTAAAGTAAGTATCCTAGCATTGATCCCATGTTGGCCTCGTCGCAGATTCAGATATGGCAATTTCGTGTCACATAAGTTCCGGGATTCAAATGCGGCAGGACTACCTGTTTCAAGAATGGATTGAACCCACTCTAGCTGGTCTGGAGACCAATCACTTCAGGGAATACGGTTGCGGTTGGCCTGTTCCATTCATTTCCTTGTTTCTTGCCAGACATAGATCATTCTTTTCCTGCATGTTCCTTCCTTTTGAATTTGATTCTTTGGGTCTTCGACCGCCTGTGTTGATCACGGCGTGTGCATTTTCATATGTTTGACAAGATGTCTTGATTTTTGCAATGGGCTGTCCCTTGGATCCTTGTCAATGGACCTGTCATTTTGTCTTCGAAATCCCTGGGTAGGAGACAGTTCCTGCATACTCACTACTCCTCTTGTCTCGTTAGATGGACCACATGTTCTACTGCATGTACTTAAGTCGATTTCGGTTGCGAGCCTCATTGTTTGGAGCATAACGCTGACCATTCCTTTCTTTCTGCGCAACAGGACATGTTCGTGATTATCTTTTCCTCGCTGGGGAATCTCTTCCGCTGCAAAGGATCCCCTGCGGGTGATGGCTACACCCGTGCGGACTCCAGTGGCCGCGGTGGTTTCATCGGCGCCATTGGAGGACGGGGGGGACGGGGAGGACGTGGTCAGGGGCGTGACGTGGATGCCGAGAACAGGCTCATAGATCAACTGGATGAAGAGTGGGATGATTAGTTGATAGTTGCCTTTGCTTTCTTTTCTCTGGTTTCCCTTGTCTTATAGCGACTTGTGTTTCCCATACCCTTTCACAACATTCCTTTTCGTCCAGTGGTAACTATGGCCACTTTTGTTTGTCAAATTGTTCAAACAATAAATTCCGATGCTTTTCTCTCTGTCTGGTTATCTGTAATGCAACCTTTTGTTTTTCATGTTATCCATGAACATATTTTGTAGCTGTTTACATACTTCGGCTAGATATATATCCACATCTGGGACCATATACCATCTCGATCCATTAATATTGACATACATATGATTCAAATACGAGTGGGACAAGACTAGGTCCTAAAGCAACTCGCATTACATCTACCAGCTTCGACCATAAAGATAATTGATCCTATCCTGTTTGATGCTGACTTCATACTCTGAGCCCGGGAATTAAGCGAACATAGTCCCCACAACGCACATCTAACCATACAACTAGCATCATTGGTCTAGTGGTAGAATTCGTCGTTGCCATCGACGAGGCCCGTGTTCGATTCACGGATGATGCACAACAATTTCTTTTTTGGCAATTTGATTTGCTGAATTATTTTGGTATTTGGTCAAAATCTTTTTTTCCCCCTTAGATCGGAATCTTCTACAAGGTTGTGATGTGTGGAAAAATGAATTACATATGGATATTTTTCAAGCTTGCTCAAAAAGAAAGATATATACATGTCGGAGACGAGACGATACTAGTTACACAAGTCAACACGAATGGGCTTATAATATGAACAGTAGCGCAAAAAGTAACAGACCCAGCCCCCCAAAGTCCGACTCCAACCTTTCGCAATCATTGTAAAGAAAACTCAAACACCACGTAGCAGTCATTGAGAAAGCATTAGCCGATGAACAATACCCGACCTGATCACGGTTGTGAGGATTTCATCTCCGAACCAGTTAGACCAAGATCATAT